AACAGGCATGTGCGTACACCGCCCTGTTATTTGCCCTCCGGGCGCACAACCAAGGAGGCATGGCCCAGTTCGTGCCCAGACACGCATGCTACCACGCTACCACGTTAACTACACAAGACAAAGTACCAAGGATGCGCGCAGGCGCGACACGGGGAGACGGTGGGGCACGGACCAATCACGAATGCTACTTTCTCTCCCACCACCCAGTTTCTCGTAGCCAGAGTACAAAACATGCCACCGCTTGCTGTTTTCTCAGTTCTCCGGCGATGGCTTCTAGTGTGGTGCCGAAGGCTAAAAATAATACAATTGCCGAACCAGTGATCGCGTCTTTTTCTTCTAATCAACAATTTCACCTGCTGCACTTCCTTACTTTATATTTCATCTTTTCAAATTCAAGTTGCGTCTTAAAAAGCACCAGGATACACGGAGGAGTCTTAATCGAGTACTAACGCTTAGAGAAGAGCGATAAAATGTCGAAAAGTCTGTGAATCGCAACACAAAATACCTTTCATTCCTGGAACTGTATATTGAACTGTCCAGAAGTTTACTAAAAACCGTACTGACATCTCAGTGTGCGCTGGAACCCTTTTGGCGTTTGCGTGTAGACCGGTTCCAAAATGTCTGGTGTAGCGGATTTCAATAATCCCTTAAGAAAATTTAAGCTTGTATTTCTTGGTGAACAAAGTGGTTAGAATATATTTGTATTCCTCACCCCATTTTGCCTCTTTATAGTTGGGAAGACGTCATTGATCACCAGATTTATGTATGAAACATTTGACAGCGTGTATCAGGTACATATCAACTTCCCCTTATTTGTCTTTTAGGCCACAATTGGCATAGACTTCCTTTCTAAGACAATGTATCTTGAGGACAGAACGGTAAGGACTTAAGCAGATGACCTGACCTATTAGATTCGTTTACAATTATGGGATACTGCCGGACAGGAACGGTTTCGGAGTCTTATTCCCAGTTACATTCGCGATTCCTCTGTAGCCGTCGTTGTATATGACATCTGTGGTTCGTTTACATTATTTTAATCTTGACTGTACCAGTTAAGGAGTCTTTTTCCCAGACTACGAAATGGATAGATGACGTTCGCAACGAACGTGGGAGTGATGTCATCATCATGCTTGTTGGCAATAAAACTGACTTGGCGGACAAAAGGTACGTTATTTCCTATGTCATTATTCACGAAACTATTCAGAAAAGTTTCTACTGAGGAGGGTGAAAGGATGGCAAAGGAGCTTAACGTCATGTTCATTGAGACCAGTGCCAAAGCCGGCTATAATGTCAAAAATGTGCGTTGACTGTTTTGCTTTTTTTTCATATGTACGTATAATTTATATGATTTTTATCTTTTGTCTCAAAAAACATATAAGCAGCTGAAATTTTGTGGCTGGAACAATTTGCTGACGCAACTCTAGTCAGTCTGTATTTTTGACTTACTTTCTGGATTAGGTGTCGCCAAGGCGTTGCCGTTTGGCTATCTCATTTTTGATTCCTTGTGTAAATACTAAAGCGGCATCAAATAAGTCCACATCTGTTGAGACCAGAAGAATCGTTTATTTGAAAAACAAAACGACCGAACTGGTATGTACCATCGGAACCCGTACATCATTGGAACATTTTCACTCAACTAGCAGACGTCAAGATCACCTATGCAGCGGTTTCTCTGCATACATTGGCCTGCTACATAGAAGCTGAAATGTTAATACATCGAAAAACTGCAGGGCAAATAAATCAACGGGCTGCCCTGAACTCAACCAAGGTTCGTTGTTTTTTTATTGCTGAGCTCGGCGGCCACAACAGTTTTTGTAAAATCTTTGGTTATCATTAAACAATTATCTTGTGGTTTCTACAGGAGGTTAACCTTCCCTTTAAAAATTATGTTTTATGTGATAATTCTATGGCAGCAATGATGTATATTAAAGTCTGCTAGCTTTGCTGGCATCGCTTAAGATAATCCATCCTGTCCTAAGGCCTTGCAGCCCTGCGATGGTGAGGATTTCTTGAAGCCTTTGCTTGAGATGGGGATTCATTTATTAAGACTAGAAACTTTTTTCCATGGGGTCGACGAAGACCAGCCGCATCTTTTTTGGGAATAGTGCGCCCAACTGTTAAACCCATGCCTCCTAATGTTTATAAACAGATTATTTATTGTTGATTTTCCTTAATGCCTCCTAGAGGATGCATATATTATTACGAAAAGTACTTCCTATTCGTTTGATCCCCAATCAGCATTCCAGTCCATTGCGGTTCTTTTTGGAGTTGACCCAATTGTGAAAAAACCCCGCGCATCAGAGAAGACCTTTGCCGGAGGTCAATGCTCTAACCGCTAAGCGGTTCTTTTTGTTTCATTATTTATGAGCGTACGTTAGTAAGCTTGCGTGCCATTGCTCAGTCGCGGAATCGAAAGTTGGTCTGTAGTCATTGTGTCAGTGCTTTAAAGAACCTCCTATCCTTTTTTGATTATAGTATGAATATGACTGACTTAAAATAAACCAAAAATAGATATCGCAGTCTCATTTGTTCCGGCCAATGAATAGAAGAAAACTGCTAAATATCTGCACACATTTTTCCAACTGACGTTGTTAGTAAAATCGACCTATGGGTCATCTGACATACAGGAGTTTTAAAGTTTCCCGATGACCGAGCCAGCACACCACTAACCCCGAACTCATGTTCTCAGACACCGCGGATGAAGCAGGAAAGGGTGTGGTGACTGTCTCGATCATGAGTACTCTCTCTCGTTTACCTCACATAACTTTCTATATGTGGTTTTCATTGGGTGAACTGGATTCAGGGAGAGTACTGTATGTATATGACAGCTGAACTGTCATGCGTTCGAATCTGACTAGTTTATCCTGCGCACTGACTGCTTTGTAAAATTCCGCAAGTCCACATGACGGCACCGTGATATGGCAACCGTGAACAGCCATTAAGTAGGTTTGCTTGCCACCGCTGCCTTATGGTTAGGTTCTTGAGTCAAAGTGCTAGAAAAGACAATCCCAGACAAACAATCCGAGCGGCTACTGAGGACCCGCCTGTATTCAAAATCCCCAAGATCCCTCATGCAAATTTCTACTTACGGCGTTATGATCAAGCTACGGCGTCTGCGGGAAACGACGCGCTCCACAACCTTTGTCCAGTGGTGCAGGCCAATAGTATGCGAGCTGTACTACCTGACTCTTGATATTTGATGCTGAAATTTATAAAATTTTCTGGAACCTGGTACCCAAAGCCTGACGGCACGCAGTCTTTATCAGTGCTACGTGAATGATTGCCGCCTGTCCGAAGTTCAAATCCCCGACTCAGGTGCCCGGAAAATAAAAGTACTAGGAATTAATTCCCACATCACTTTGTATCACAGTGGCCCACGTTTCTCAACTGACAGGCACGACGTGGTTATTGCCCTTTCGGAATAAGCAAGCCCTGCATTACTGTCATGGGAACCAGTCAATGACCGGATAGCTTACTTTCGACTAACGGGTCACTTTACGAAGCATGTGAGCTTCGTTTCTGAGATGTTTTATTGATAGTGCTTCGCACGTTGTCAAAGTTTCCCGATGAGTGAGCTAGTAATTCACTGACTCCAAACTAACCCACTCGAACGTCGTTGATTAAGGGGTGTGTTGATAATGACTGCTCCCTAACGTAACTCTATTTGCGGCTAGCATTAGGTGAGTTCGATTCAGGGGAGAGTAATGAGCCTATATGACAGTTGTTGATCGCATTAGTACTGTCACGCGTTGGAACCTGACTAGTTTATCCTGCACAGTATTTGTCTAAATTATCATGTTTTTGGGAGATGGAACTGTGTGTACACCTTATTGAGTATGTCGCCAAAACAGACACTGGGTCAATCATCTTAGCGAATATATTAATAAAATATCGATTCTAAGATTTTAGTAAGAGCATTTTGTTCACAGCCGGTGGTTGTGTCCATTCGACCGCAATAATAGGGTCTGTAAATCCGTGCCATTTTTACTGTTTTGGTGGAAGACTATGGTATGAAGTATTAATAATACTGTTAATATTACAATTATATTTAAAATACTGCGCTCCGGCAACTTATCGGGTTTTTCGTTGCACAATTGTTAGCCGCCTGTGATTTTCAAGCGTATGTTAATCTAGCTGCTTATATTTTCTAAGAAATGCATTTTAGAGCATCCCTTCACAGCCATGTGAAATCAACCTTAGGTATATGCACGCAAAATAGCCCGACAATATCCAGAGTGTAAATGAAGGCGACATGCTTAAAATAGCCATATACACTACTACATATAATTAAAGCCAAAAACGGGTATCTTGACACTAGATGGTGTAGCATCAGACACCATCATCAGGATCAAGGCTTGCTACTGCTCCACCAATGCGTGGGTTCTGGTCCATAGCAACCTTTTAGCAGCATTCGCTATTCAGTCTGGCGTTTGACAAGGCTGTCGTGCCGCCAATTTCGTTAAATTAGGCTATCGAGTGGATCATCGAAGGGGCCGTACATAAAGAGGACGGTGTTGAGTTTGCACCTAGACGCCGACTGATTGATCGCGACTATGCCTAGGATATCACCTTACTAGCTCCAAGCTTTGGAAATTTGCAGTCTATGGTGCCATGAGTGAATGAGTTCGCATAACCGGTTGGTTTATCCATAAGCGCTGGGAATTCCAAAGTGTTTTCATGCTGCATCCTGAACAAGAATAGGCATCTCCAGATTAATGACTGTCTACTTGAAGAATTAGTCAGTTTTATGTACCTTAGGGTGAGGCTACTGCCGAATAGGAGTTGTAGGAACGACGCCCCCCACATTGACGCTGCTCGCAGGCTTTTTTTCAAGTTTTAGAAAGTACCTTTCGACCAGACGCGAAATCTCCATCATCACGAAGATTCGCGTATACCATGCATCCTTTTGGTCTGTTGTTCTTTACGGTTGGGAATTCTGAGCTATATGTTTGCAATGTGAGAGAAAAATAGAGGTGTTTTATCATCACCGTTTGAGGACCACCCTTCGAGTGAAGTAGCTGCGACAGTATGGCAAGGAAAAACAACTGAGGTGGTTCGGACACATTCCTCGTCGTCAACCTTACGAATTCAATGTTATCCATTTGAAGACGTCAAAGATGGCGTCAGCTCAAAACGTGGCTCGACATACTCCATAAGGAAATGGAAGTGGTTCTTGGACCTTCGGTGTT